GCTACCAAATACAGATGTATATATGTAGATCCAGGAATACTCATAGCGCAAAAAATTTATTTTACTTCAGTAGACGCTTACCATCAAATCAGCAAATGTTGCAGTGAATGCATTTAAATTTTTTATTTTAATTCTAAATTAATTTTATGAGTATTAGTTATACATATTTCATGTGTATTTAGCTACACTAATTTCTCTACGCTGATTTGCAATAAATGGGGCGTCACTTCAATGAAAGCAAAATTATGTCTCTTCAATTTTTTCACATCATACAATAACAACTAATTTATGGCTATTTTTTTATTGTGTGAAAATAATAAAACAAAAGAAATCAAGCTAACTTAGTTTTGTAATCACCTAAATATATGGCACATACATACATACTAATGTTTGCACTTGAAATCAGCATTGATTTCAGCTTCTTCTTCGGTTTCGGTTTCGGCTGCGTCATCGTTTTTCTAATCNTAACTTAGTTTTGTAATCACCTAAATATATGGCACATACATACATACTAACGTTTGTCTTGAAATCAGCATTGATTTCAGCTTCTTCTTCGGTTTCGGTTTCGGCTGCGTCATCGTTTTTCTAATTATTTTTCAGCGCCATTTTCATTGTCAACAATTTGCATTCACATTTAACCCCGAACAATGCCAAGCGAATTTAATAAAGTATAGCCTCGTTTGAGATCGCACATATTCAATTTGAGAAAACAATAGAATTACCAATACCAATGCAAAAAACAACCTTTTATTATGTACATACATATGTATGCACTATATGAACATATTTGAGCATATGTGTGTATACACTCATATTTATTTCGTGATGCAACTCTGATGCAATGACACTTGCAATTTCAATCTAAGCTCACTGCCACAAGTGCATGCAGTGTTTCTCAAACTGTTTACAAATATTTGCGTTTGATTTGTAAGAAACAGACTTGAATACTCTGACGAAGTAAAATATTTCTTGGTTATCCTGGAGAAGAGAGAGAGAGCTAAGAGAGAGAGAGTTGAAATTCCCATCAGAAAAAAACTCTTAGCAAAGCCATGCGTGCCATGTGGACCTTTCGAAGAATTTTCGGTTGCACATAGGTCCTAACTCCAAATTTATAGAGTGGATGTACCGAACTATAGTCTGTACGATTGTAACTTATGCCTGCATAGGCTGGTAGCTATAAAAGCTGCAAACAACTGTCAGTTCACGTCTGAACCAACTCCGAAGTATGGCTTTACTGTCGGTGGCTCCTACGCTGGACTCTACCCCACATTTTTTTCAAAGGAAATCTGCTTAGGAAGGAAAATTCAGATCACAATCTCACCCGAGATGTCTGGTTAAATGGTTTATCTGAACTAGATCCCAGATATGTACCGTGGTGCACAGAGGCGACAAAAATGGAGGGCAGAGCAGCAGCGGGTGTCTTTCAATTTGGCACCGAACTTTCTATTGTAATGGGTACTAGATCCACGCTCTCTCAGGATCCGAAATTGAACCTTGAGAAAGGTGTCTAGTTATCTTTTCAGGCCGCCATAAGTGCGCTCTCCAATAGGACGATCACCTCCAGTCTCATTAAACGAATGCTTTGTATCCAACTCTTGTCAGCAAAGAACACGGTATTACTATGCTGGGCACCAGAACACTGCGGGATCGTAGCTAATGAGGCTGACGACAAATTGGCAAGGGAAGGCTCATCGCCTGTACTTGTGGAGCCAGAGCCGTTTTGTAGACTCAGTTGGTCCTCTTCAAGGCTCATAATCGAAGCCTGGGTAAACTCAGAATGCACTAAGTACTACGAATAGGTAGGGGGCCTTAAAAAGACCAAACCTTTTGGTTATTCTTTTGCTAGGAAAGATAAAAATCTCTTGAACAGATCAAGTTGCTAATTGGCCCTCACATGCACCGGATTGGTCTTTCCATAGAGACCGATTGCCGTCTTCACGTCGGAGCACATTATATATAATGGTCCAGTTAGCCAGACTACGATTGCAATACTTCAGTTTTTCCTTTTAGATTTTATAATGGAGGCTAATAACATCTTGGGCCGTCAATTTCCAATACTTTTTAATGGCTACACAGGTGCCGCATTTAATGAAAAAGAACCTAGGCCAACGTATAAGGGCGATTTTGCACTCGACCAAGACGAGGGAAGAACAGCAATAAGGCGGCTTTAAAAATGTAAGGCCCAAAGACCGAACGTGTCTTATCTTGAGATCCCCTAAAAACTATTACGGATAGCATAGATAATAATAATAGATTGGCGCTTATATATATGTACATATTTTAGTGTTTGGCCTCCTCTCCTTCTTGTAGCATGCATAATGACGCTTAATTGAGAATATCCTTCGACTCGATACCCATGGATGTGCGACGAAAGCAAGGTTGCGCACATAGCAGCATCGATAGAACCATTTGTGGCATGTGCAACGGAAGTGAGGGCGCCCACGCATTAGCATCGATCTCGCTCTTTAGACCATTTTATTACTGCCTGCCAGCATCTCCAGTTCTTCGCACTCTCATCTTTCTGCCTTTACTTTATTTTTCTTAAAAAAGTCCATCTTCCCTCCTTCTTTTTTTTGGGTATGCAGGCCATTTCTACTTTCTACCATAGTTGTTAGGCTGAGTATTTTTAAAATAACCCATGTACAGATTTTTGTTTAAGATCTCCTGCAGTCCACTGAATTTTATTTCCATATACATACATACATACATACATATATTTACTACGTCTTACGTGGGTGTTTTTCTTGAATTTTTTCTTTCTATTCTTCACTAGGGAAAGCGTTTCGTTGATTAATTGATTGCACAAGCAGTTAATTCCTGGAATCAATTTAATACTGCGCTATAAATTACATAACGTTACATTGTAAACTTTTATTTCTATTTATGTATTTTGATTTCACTTTTCTTTATTTCAAAGTCAACTATGTTGATCAATGCGATAATTACTTATGTACATACATACATACATGCATACATGTATTGCATAAGCATTGATAAGGGGTAATAGTTTTGCATACACATTAGGGTGGTAAAAAAAGCGAAGTTCCAGCCACAACGGACATCTGTAGTTTAGGTTTAACGTGAGAACCTACCGCAATAAACAACCTTGGTAAATCCGAAACCTACCTAAAATCCCTGCCATTCTTTAGGTCCCGGCACCCGGTTGAAATGCAACTCCACATTGAACCCTTGCGAGTTCTACCCGCATTTAGGTATTAAACCACAGCCCCCGCGATACTCCCCGAAGGGGCCGTACTTCACTGAATAGACTGGAGTAGTGCTCGCCAGCCAGACTTGCTCGACCAGCTCAACTCACGCGACCTACTATACCTACCAAAATACATATGCTTAACCCCACAAATAGTCAGATTTGCTTTTCCGCCATCATCAACCTCCAACACTGTCTCCCTAACCGGAGAACAGCTTCACCATGTTGCCACCATTAACCTACATTCATTCTGCTCGTCTCGCCCATCTCGCAGGTCTTACTAGCCTTACTGGGGAGCACTTTCCAGCCCGGGTGGACAATAGGCATGGATTATTGCTCCTTTTCCAGTTTTCTACACCCGCTTGAGTTGCTTGACGAGCCACATTCTTCCTTGCAAATCTCACCAGCTGTACGATCTTACATGTGCATCTCGCGTGTTTTTTGGCCATGTTCGTCTCACCGGCTTTGCTTATCTATACAAAGAACACACTCCAGGGGCATCTGTTCGCCCGCGGTACCTGGTTTTAAGTCTCTGGTAAGACCTCGAAAGCCGTAGACTCTTCTGCCAATTGAGGCTCCGACCGACTCAGGATTGGTAGCCTTTCTGGGGTAGGCGGGGTAGTCAAGCCCGTACCCTGGAAAGCCCAAAGCCTCCTGTCTCCCCGCCTCTTTTCTCAAACCGGGCTTGGGGCCATCTATGGCAGAGATAGTCACAACGGATGGCCGAGAGTTTTGCAATCGACTCTCCGTCTGACATGGAGTATCACGCTACCTCACGCCAGTCGCTTCTTTTCTGTGCCAACTGACGCCAATTGGAAACGCCAAGTGCAGCCAAGTCCTTCTCCACATGGTCTTTCCATCGCAATCGGCGCCTCCTCCTTCCCTTGCTACCACTAACGAATTCCAATTTGAATACTTTCAAAGCTGGATAAAGGTTAGGTTCGGTTATCTTGGCTCTCCTCATCCAGCACATGAAAAGGGCACACTTTCAAAAGAATAATGGAGTAACGAGTGTCGAAGGGTCCTCGCCAATATGAAACTTTTGTAGGGTAATGGGTAATGGTGTTATGTGAAAATTCTTATAGATTTTATTCACAAGCATATATTTTAAACATTACATTTCTGATTGACTGCATCATTTAGAAATAAACGTTTCTTACTTTTATTAAATGCTTCCTTGAATTCATTTAAATTAATTTTAATATTTTAAAATAATTTTTTCTTAATTTCGTTTAAATTACATATCGCTAGCTTAGAAAGAAAAGTTGCTAAGTCCCATTTTAAAAATTTTACAGGAGAGGAAAAAATCTTCCTATAGCCAATTTCTGTAACTATTTCTTAAGACTTTAAATCAAGCACTTTGCGCGTTTAAAGCAAAGCAAAAGTCCATAAGAATCAGAAGGATTCGATATTTATTAAAAGATGCCGTATTATTTTGGCCTTATCGGATTTGTAAATTTTCCTTTTATTGCTTATGAAGAGGAAAAATTAAAATAAGTACCTTTATAATTTTCGAAACGATGCATATTCAATTTCTCTAGCCTCCTATATAAAATATGAGTTTTCATAAAAAGTGGACTTAGCTACTTTTCACTCTAAGCTAGCGATATGACAAGTAATTTGTAATAGTAAGAAGAGCTGTACTCACATGTAGTAGGTCCTGATTTAGAGAAAAGGTTAGGGCAGGATGGTTTTTTCATTTTGTATTTTTAGCTTTTAATTCGGAAAACTAATACAAATCGTAGGCACTACATAAACACACACATTTTTTATTTTATAGACAACTACTTTTATTTATGCAGAAAGTATTAATTTGAAAACTACTAGTGTAACTTATCCTTAATTTTTATTATCATCACTTACGCGAAGTAAAAGAGCCAGTAGACTGTAGGCATTATTCATAGTCTAAAATAAGGAGAATAATTACTAAAAAAAAATCTGCAAATATAATGAAATTGCACGTTGGTATACCTTAGAAAAAATAGGTAATCCGATTTTGAAAAATTGGCCGGCATGCAAGACCAAAGGCTGGTTTAAATATTCCATGTAGAGGAAAATCATGCGCCTATTATAGACGGACATTCCAGTCCAATCGCAGCAATAAAGGTGATAACTCAACTTTTCTGATTGCACAGTTAATTCATTGGCATAATAGCAAGGTAAGAATATTTCCATGGACATGGCTACAACATATTGTAACATGGCCAAGTATTCAGCGGGATTTTCCCTGAAGGAAACCTAAGGAAGCAAAATTGTATAAATGTTTGTTTTTAAATGGCACAAGCAAATATCTAGTAGCATTATTTTACACTTTGCAAGCGATATATGATGAAGCAAATTATGAATGAACTTAGCATAATCTGCATTAGTACAGGCAGGGATACCATTTGCACGCAGCGCTTAGACATACTGAAAAAAAATAAAATAAAAAAATTTTGAGAATAAAATTTTCGTTATGCTTACGTCGATAAGATTATCAATCGCCGGCTTAGTTAACCTACTCAATAACACGCTGATGCATTTTCATAATCTTCACGAATTCTTTGGTAACTGCATCGTCTTCTGTTGCATTGCCCAAACGCTCCAAACGCTTACCAATTACACGCAGGCAGAGTGTTAAATGTAACAGAAAGTAGCTTAGGAATAAATCGATTTGAATGTTGCATAAACAAGTGAACGGCATTGCGATGAACTCATAAAAGTACATTGCCCAGTAATAGTCCTCACGCCATTTTCGTGGCAACCAAAATGGAAATGGCAGCTCGCGCGTATTCATAAACGGCACCGCAACAAATGCACAGATGGCCGCGTTAAAGCTGCAGCCGACATAGAAAATAACCACTTTATGAAAGGCACGTTGTGCGCATCGCCACATCTCCTGCTCGCCGACCGTCTGCAGCACGAAAAGTTCACTCATCTGCCATTCATGCAGCAAACCTGCAGCCTTTAGTGAGTAGTGCCAGATGTTGAAAATTTTCAGCACCAAACTCATTTCGGTGAGTAAGAATTTTAGCACTTGGGTAGCATGGTCCAGATTGTCACTGAAGATCACATCGAGCCACATGAGTAGTGAAAGTGTAAACGTAAGTGTAATGTGTAAGAAAAGTTGATAGCAGCGGTAATATCGTTTGAACCACGAGCCCCCGCCATTGCCAATGACCACAGGCCAAAGTCCCAAAAAGGTGAGTGCGCGTATTAAAAAACGCGAATTGGCAATTGTATCGAAGGACATGACGCGAGTTAATATGGAGCGGTTATATCAGTTAACTGTACTTCTTGGCGGAGAAATTGAGCTTCTTATAGCCGTAAACGGGTTAGACAAATAGCTGCTTAACTGTTGGGCGTATTTCTTCGCAAAAATTGAATTTTTCCTAATGACTTAATAAGCAGCGTTGGGTTAAGTGATTTTCAATTAAAATGCAATTATGTACACATAAGGGTGGTCCAAAAATGCACGTGAAAAAGTAGAGTCGGAATTTTAATGCTCTCACCCCCTAAGATTGTTATATACCGAAAAAATATACCCATATTTTTTTATTTTGAAACCAAAAAATATTAGAATAGTAAAGAATTCTTGAAAATTCATACTTTCCGATCGGAAAACTCTGTTTCCCTTCAGGAGATTTCCAATAATAATACCCAATTATTTACTTAACCATCTTTTCATAGTAACTATATTTTATAAGTCCGTCAAACTCCCCAGAAATACCAATGGGGGATAATGAAAAACTCTTAAAGATATTATAAAAATGGTTAAATAAACAATTGGGTATTGTTATTGGAAGTCTGCTGAAGAGAACCAGAGTTTTCCGATCGAAAAATATCGATTTTTCAAGAATTCTATTAAATTTCACGAAAAGTTTTTTTTTATATAAAATACATGGAGAACTTTAAGCGCTTTGAGCGCCCTCTTAATATTTTTTGATTTCAAAATAATAAAATAGTGGTATTTTTTTCGATATAGGATAATCCTTGGGGGATAGATCATTAAAATTCCGATTTTACTTGCTTTGGACCACCCTAATGTACACAGATGTTCTTGCGTATGCGTTTAGAAAATGTCAAATTATTCAAAGGAATGCAGTGTTGGCTTCAAATAACATTGTGTATCAATTGTAATTGTGTATTCGTTCGTAGTAGTGAAGACCCCAAGAGGTTTTCACTCTACCTCGTCAACATTCACAGCATGGTTGCAAACCGATATTATGTAACGAAATAGTTGATGAACTTCCAAGAGCGCCATCAGCCCGACTGTCGAACAGACAAACTATATTCATAGGGAATAGGTGACAGTATTAGCAGGTTATGCAGTTCAGGGCAAAACTGCAATAAATTATTTGCGAAAACAGCGAATGTAATTATACATACTCCATTCTTATTACCTACGGCCATAAAGGTTGGATTGTAGACTTAATACCGTATTTCTGTGCGGTTCCAAGTATTTTAAGAGCCGGTTCTGTCGAGTCAGGTAGAAGTAGGACTGTCTTCGGTTATGCCGAAGGCTACTCACCTTTCATGGACATCAGACTTTTACTTCCGCCGATTACTGTATTTTTAAAGTTTGTCTATTCACTACGTACATAGAGGAGTATGGAATACTAGGTTCAAGCATAAAAAGATCCACCAAGCTAGATCGGAAAACGGGAAACCAAATCCATCATGTTGTGATAGGCGGAAGGTACGCTTCCAGTGGTTTAGACGTACGTACACTCCGAGGGCCAAACATCGTCCCTGTGCAGCAAAAAATGTGCGCCCAAAAATGCAAGGAAAGCTTAACGTCGAAAAGCTGCTATCACAACAGATAGCCAATGCATTCGATACTCGACTCTCACACCTGCTCTCAGAGAGCACTCTTCAACGAACCGACATATGCGAGCAGTGGAAACAAATTTCCCGTTCATTAAGTAGCACCGTGGAAGAAGTCGGATTTCAGCGAGCCCGAAAGAACAACTGGTGCGATGAGGAGTGTCAGAAAGCTGCAGAGAAAAAAGATGCCGCCTACAGGGCCAAGTTGCGATCGGACGCAACGCGAGAATTGTGGGACCACTTTAGGGAACTGAAGAGGGAAGCGACACGTATTTGCCGTGGTATGAAGAGAGGGGCCAAAATAGTAAACTCGGATGTCGGGTTTTAAAATTTACGATACCCCCTAAAACTATAGACCCATCTGTGTTTTGTCGGCACTATCAAAGGTCTTTGAAAAATATATCTCTAAACACAGCAATAATAAAGGTAATGGACGACTTTCGCCCCGCTTTTGATTACTTACCAGCTTTTAATACTATAAACAACGATATTTTGCTATTGAAACTTCAATATTATTTCGGGTTTCACGCGACATCAGTTAATTTGATGAAAAGCTACCTATCGAATAGGGTACAAAAAGTGCAATGTGGAAATATCTTTTCGAAACACAGTACAATTTCTACTGGTGTACCTCAGGGATCAATTTTTGGTCCCATACTTTTTACATTTTTTGTGAATGACATTGCTCATTGCTGTCAAAATGCCTCTATCTATATTTACGCTGACGACACCCAGATATACCTCTCACGTTCTATTGGTCTTTGGGAAGACTTGGCATCCATCTGGGCCTTTGCCTAAACGCAGGCACTACAAATAGCGCACGACACTTTTGACCTGAGTGGTTCGTAGCCAATTATGCTGAACGATACAGAGATCACACTTCAATCGGTTGTGCCTAGCCATGGATTTAAAATAAATTCCCATTTAAGTTGCACAGATCACATTAATTATATGTATCATATCGAAGGTATATTACATCCTAAGTAATCTGTGACAAACATGTTATTGTCTACCCATCAACACAAAACTTAAACTCGCACAGGCCCTTATTATTCCTCAGATATCTTGCTTTGAAGCGGTATATAGTAATCTTGATAGCGAACCTAAAAATGAATTAAATATAATGTGAAGAGCTTAAGATACTGGTCGACCGGAAAACGCCCGAAAATTTTACCAGAGAGATAGGCGGTTTACGGAAGGTTTCAATACCAGGGTGAACTCCTGTAAGAACAACAATGGCGACCTAGTTATCGATGTCCTGAACGTACTTAAATTATGGAGGCAACATTATTCCACCCTACTGAATGAAGCAGCGCTGAAAGTTGTGGAGAAGACGAACACGAGCCCGATGAGGACGGAGTCGATGCCCCACTGCCTGACTATGACGAGGTGCGAATAACAATTACGTGTCTGGAAAACAACAAAGCTGACCGCCTGGCAGCTAAGCTATTCAAGTACGGTGGCGAGCAGTTAATAAGGTGCATGCATCAACTCTTATGCAGAATATGGTCAGATGAACGCATGCCCGACGGCTGGAATTTAACTGTGCTCTGCTCAAGCGAAAAGAAAGGCGACCGCGCCAAATACCGCGGAATCAGCCTTCTAAGCATAGGTTATAAGATCTTATCGAGTGTATTGTGTGAAAGACTGAAACCCACCGTCAACGAACGGACCTTATCAGTGTCGCTTTAGATCTGGCAAATCCACCATAGACCAGGTATTCACAATACGCCAAATCCTGGAAAAGACCCGCGAGCATAGGATCGACACGCACCATCTATTTGTCGATTTCAAAGCCGCTTTCGACAGCACGAAAAGAAGCTGTGTAAAATGACGTTGAGCAATACCACCAGCCCCGTCAGAATTTGGAATGACCTCTCCGAGCCGTTCGCCATCAAACGGGGTTTCAGACAGGGCGACTCCCTTTCATGTGACTTCTTTAATCTGATGTTGGAGAAGATAACAAAAGCTGCAGAACTGAACCGCTCAGGAACAATTTACATCGACATCATCGGTTACAAGAACCGCGAAGTCTGCTTTGCCTTTTCCAAGTTAGATAAGGAAGCAAAGCGAATGGGTCTCGTGGTAAACGAGCGCAAGACGAAGTATCTCCTGTCATCAAACAAACAGTCAGCACATTCGCGCCTTGGCACCCACGTCACTGTTGGCAGTTACAATTTCGAGAAAGTAGAGAATTTCGTTTACTTGGGAACCAGCATTAATAGCGATAATAATGTCAGCATGGAAAATTCAACGCAGAATCACTCTTGCCAACGAGTTCACTTTGGACTGAGTAGGCAATTAAGGAGTTAAGTCCTCTCTCAACGTACGTCTCAGCTACACTCCATAAGTCACCACTCATCATGCTCGTGTTGGTATATGTCTCAGAAGGATGGACAATGACAACATCCGATGAGGCGGCTCTTGCAGTATTCGAGAGAAAGATTTTGCGGAAGATTTACGGGCCTTTACACGATTTTTCCGGTTCAGAAAAATGGTTAATACATTCACTTAACAAATTGCATTCGAATAACTCGAAAACTGAGGGAATAGATCGCTTACAAACAGGCGGGCAGACGGATATGGCTAAATTGGCACAGCTCGAGGTTCTGAGTATATAAGTATACATTTTCGTGGGTCTATCTCTTCTTCTTCTGGTACTTACAAACATCGGACCAAAGTTATAAAGCCATTTCATGCTCATAAAAAATATGATGATACATAATTCTTTAAACCATAACGTCAAATATTTTTAAATTAAGTTGGAAAATAAAAATTATTTAATATTCTCATAAATATGTGGTTACTTTTAAAATTTTTTAACTCATTTTGAAAATACCGATTTAACCTGATAGACGAAGTTTAAAAAAAAAAAAATTATATACCACAAACTAAGAAAAACATCACTGAATAAGTATAGAGAGCAAACGTTAAAAATTCATTTAAAAAGCAAATATTATTTTGTGGAGGGGAGCCCGGAACATATTCACCTTCCGGGCTTGGATTTTTTCTCGACGGCCCTGTTCATGTAAATATACATACATATGTTAAGTTATGTGTACATATGTATGCACACCCATTCTACTCATCCTCATCGGCGACGTTCGCCAAAAGCGCCAGTAGAGTGTAAGCGTTGTTCATAGTCTGAAAGTGAAGAAACAACAACGTTTTTAAGACCCGTTAAGTGCAAGAAAACTCGGCAGTACCTTTGAAAAAACTTGTAGTCCGATTTCGAAATAGCTTCCTGCACGCAGCGCAATTGGCTGCTTTAAGTCTTGCATATAGAGATAAATTAAACGGCGATTGTAGGCAGACATGTCCGTCCAATTGCAGCTGTACAGTTGCTTACTCAAATTTAGTGATTCCGCCGTCAATTCATTGGCATAATAGCATGGCAAAAATATTTGCAAAGACATGACAAAGCCATATTGTACCATAGCTACAAAATCGGCTGGATTATTGCTGAAACTTAACTAAATGAATAAATCGAAAAAATAAAAAGTATTTCGCATTAACAGCTTTCGGAATTCCAAAGAGAACTTACACTTTGCAGATAATAAGCTGTAAAACAAATAATCATCGAACTGAATATAATCTGCACGAGAACAGGTAGCGATACAATCTCCTCGCAACGTTTGACCATGCTAATTTTTTTTTTTTTTTTTTTTTAAACGTAAAATGTAATAAAAGTAAAACGAAAAGTAACTCAAGGTCTTTCACCACTCACAAAAAAAAACTTACTCCTTCACGCGCTGCTGCATTTGAATTAATTTAAGAAGTTCGCTGGTAATTTCCACATTATCGCCTGCATCTTCCAAGCGCGCCATTCTTAAACCGATGAGCCGCAAACAAAGTGTTAAATGCAATAGATAATAACATTGTAAAGAATCTATTTCAATATTGCAACAACAAGTGAATATCACCGCCACGAAATCATACAAATATAACGGCCAGCCATTGCCTTCTCGCCATTTTTTGACCGGAATCCAATACGGAACTGGTAGCTGAGGTGTCTCCATGAAAACAACTGACAGGAAAGCTAAAAGCACGCAAATTATGCTCCAAATCCTATAAAAAGCCAATACTTTTTTGTAAGCGTTTTGCGCACGTCGCCACATTACTTGTTCTTGTGGCGTGCGAGGCACGAAAAATTCACTCTGCTCCCATTCATGCAGCAACTTTGCCGCATTAGGTGCAAAATGCCAAATGTTGAGAACTTTTAGGACAACTACCGTTTCAGAAAGTGCAATCTTCAATACTTCGCTGGCATACTCCATATTTTGAATAAAAATTACCTCCAGCCACATTAGCGTGGTAAGAATGAAAGTGAATGAAACTTGTAATAAAAGCTGATAATATCGATAATATTGCTCGAACTTTGCGCCAGTGGCATTTTTGACCGGCCAGAGTCCCAAAAGTGTTAACGTGCGTATCGATGGTCGCAAATTGACAATAGTGTCGAAGTACATCGCGCTGTTGGGAATAGGCGCGCCTTTCCAAAGAACTGTACTCCTCTGTTCATCATTGTTAGTTTTTATAGGTGAAAGTACAAAAGGCGACCGTCATGTTCGAGTGGTTAGAGAAGTGTGGTTTCACTCGGCAGGACACAAGTTCGATACCAAATCTATTAACAGTCAATTGTCGGCGGCCAATAGCGAAACGTCGAATATAGCTGCTCATAAAAAACCTTTTGAAGGAGAAATTCGGCCAAACATATGTTAACTACTATGTATGAGAAATTGAAACTCGATTACTTTTAATGCAGTTAGATAATTATTTGTAAGGTGTGAAGTGCGCGGTTTTCAATTAAAATGTGATTTACGAACATAGTGAATGTTTTGCATGTCTGTTGGATCTCTAAGTTTGAGTTCCCATATAAGAAATTATATGCTTTGACATTTGTTTATCTATTTAATTGATAAGTGCGTTTTAATTATTTAGTATTTGCGTCAAAAGAAAACTATTGTATCTGTGTTGGCAGACAGTGTTGCCGTTGCGCGACTAAAGAAGAAATTTAACCCTTTTTAGGTGCCGATACCCTTTGATCCGACTTTTAGAAAATTTAGATTTTTCGATCCTTTTCCAAAATTATGTGCGACTTTTGCCCTTTTGCAGAGATGTTTTTTTTTTAGGAAATGTTAACAGAACCATGCTATTGAAAAATATTTCCTCCTGTAAGTATGAAAAAAATCATCACTTAAAACTTTTAAAGGAAATGCGACTTTTCTTGCAGCAACTGGATTTCTGTGTTTTGTTCAAGGCTTGTCCCACTATTTTCAGTTTGAATTCAACAGTGGAACGTTCTAGCAGCGAAAAGACTTTATAATACATGTAAATTTGATTTTGACTTTGGAACTCAGATTTATTCTTTCGCAACGTAAAGAAAGCAAAAATAATATGGTGACCCTTTTTTTGGGCAATTACCCCTTTTTGCGACTTACTGCAAATTCTCAACGGCTACGCTGGTGGTAGCTATGTACATATATGAAGCTATAAAACTGCATACCAAAAATTATTCTAGAAATTAAAATTAAAATGCATGGAATTGGGATGAAAAGTTTGTGGAATGTTTATAATTTTTGTACAAAGTCTGAAATTTAGATTTATATGGTGTTTGTTAGATAAGGAGTTTTACTTTTATACAAAAATAATGAACCTTAAAAAAATGGAAAGAAAATTAGTCAAAACTTGTAAAAATGTTGATGTGCTATCGTTTGTCGCGGGGTGTAGAGATATAGTCTCTTCTGTGCTGAAGGGTGTAAATATTAAATAAATAAAAGGAGACATTTCATAAAATTACGGAGTGTTTCTTTTTAAATGATGAAATCTAGCAGTTTTATCTTTAATTTTTAAATAATAATCTTATTAATAAAATCATTAGCAATTTTACATAAAATCAGTAAGGAATCTTGCCTGTTTTACCTCAGACACTTTTCATCTTGTTTCCAAAATGACGTCAATATTTTGGAACGTTTTCTAAGCGAAATATCTGTCGTGTTGTTGTTTCAAAGGTAAGCTTTTTAGCGTTTACATTTGGTAACCTCGTATCAGGGCTGCTTTATGGCAACAACAAACAACTTTTTTTTTTTTTAATTTGTTGGGGACGTTTTCTGTATTTGCATTTTATTTCAGTGATAAATGGGTGATAAAAACAAACAAACCAAGGTAAATAAAAAAAAAATTAAATGTTAGTAAAACAATTACAACAATGAAACGAAATGAAATATGAATTTGCTAATTTTCATTGTGGCGTATTGATGTTTATTTTAATAGTGTTATTGAGCTTTGTTTCACGATTTGTTAGTTAGGAAAAATGGAAAAAACAACAAAGCTTAAGCGATAGAAGTTATAGCAGCTATTTCGGAGATTACCACACTTCCTCATCGGACTTCTTTTTTAGGTTGAATAAGTGGTTAGCTCTCCTGGCTTTGCACATCGATGATGCGGGTTCGATCCCCGCTGAATGTCTAGAAAAGAGAAGTCTGATGAGGAGACCGTTTAATCTTTGATATTTTTTTCATTATTCCTAATAAACAAATCGCGGTACAAAGATCAATAAGACTATTGAAATAAACATTAATACGCCACAATGAAAATTTTAAAGCTTCAAAACTGTGTACCGAAAATTTTTGTAAAAATTCTAAATACAAAGTTTAAAATTTTTGGGTGTAATTGTTAAAGTTTGTTAAATGTTTAAAAGAAAAATACCCAAAACTAAGCAAAATCTCACTTGACTTAATCAGCTGACCACCACAAGTGCTTCTTCCCACTTTCAACGCACATTTTTCATTTATGCATTTATTAAAGGAACAGAAATCGTAGAACAACAAGAGTTTTAATAACAGTTTTAACGACAAACACTTCAAATAAATAAATAAATGTACACAGGAAATAAACCGTTTGCGCTTAAGAGTACCAACACTGGCCGGAGGGCATAATTTTACCCGAATTAACCGCAATTTCTTTAATTAAAAATTCCGAGTTGAGAAAATGTTATGGGTAGAATTGAAGTTAACCCCACCTGCAAAAAAGCGCGACAAACATACACGTAAACAAATGTACTATGCATACAAGTCGATGGAACGAAAGAGATATGCACATAAATATTTAGTACATACATACATATATACATTCGTGACAACAGAAATAAGGTAAGGGTAAAAGTAGTGTAAATGCAATTTTCTCGCTGCTTTGACCCTTCTGACCATCCATCGTATACTATGCACATTTTTAATTGCAAATTTAAGACCAGTTGTTAACGCTTCAAATTTAAATGCACAAGTTAATTTAGTTTAGCTTGACTGCTGACTGGTATTAGAAATANAAATACGACGGCGATAAATTCGTTCAAACCATTAAAGTCGCGGGGGACCGATGACATCATATCTCTGCAGCTGCAAAGGGCTCTGAAGGTGTCGTGCAATTGGTTGGATCCATGCATGAGGACCGGGTACGTCCCCAAGGTTTGAAGGGTAGTCAGTGTTGCGTTCATCCCGAAGGCTGGAAAGGGTTATCATGTTTCTCCTAGGGATTTTAGGCCTATCAGTTTCAAGAGCTCAATATGCTTATTGCAAGAAAAGGTCGGTGAATACCGTCCTGCACACAGTGGTAAAGTCGTCAGAGGAAGCCTTCACGCAGGAAGTTTATGCAGTAGGGGCCTCTTCGAAATCGAGGGGGCCTTCAACAATGTCACTCCAGAGGCAATAGTCAAGTATATTCATAATCTGGGGGTTGAAACCAACCTAATAAGCTTACTTTATGACAGAACTGCCGCGACGGAGTGGGGGAGTCAATGGGAGCACTCCGCAAGGTGGTGTTCTCTCTCCCCTGCCCTGGATTGCGGTTGTAAACGACCTTCTAGAGGAACTGGAAAAGTGGGCTGTCGAGTAATCGCCTATGAAGATGATGTGGAACTTTTAATTAAGGGACGATTTCTATACACCCTTTTTGATCTAGCTCAAGGTCACCTGAGCCAGGTAACTAGGTGGGCGATCAACGGCCCTTCCTATTACACTTTGATCAAAAGGTGGACATTTTGAGCCACTGCTAAAAATTATTACTATGAGATTGAGCAATTTCACCATGATTCCATTGCAGAAATTAGTTAAAATAATGGCTTTCAGAGTGTCACAGTTAAGAAAGCCCCCATCAGCGCACTCTCGTCTTCGGCACTCTCGAATGTGGACGTGCCACCCGTATTCCTGTGCGCCTGGCAGGACCGATACCTTCTATTCCCCCGATGGCTGACTCCCGAGGCTAAGGACCATCGGCTTAGAAGATACTGAGGACCACCCCTTGGAAACCATAATTGATTACACCCTTTGTATAGGCGAGAAAACCGAAGGNACCGATACCTTCTATTCCCCCGATGGCTGACTCCCGAGGCTAAGGACCATTCCTTCTTCTATCGGCTTAGAAGACACTGAGGACCACCCCTTGGAAACCATAATTGATTACACCCTTTGTATAGGCGAGAAAACCGAAGAACTTTGAGCCTGATAACCATTTAGTCATGCGCCAGATAGTTTTGGCTGCAGTATACATTTCTCCGGTATAGAGAGCCAGTCAAGCGCAAGTGAGCGAAGGGGTAGATCCTTCATCCTCCGTGGCGTATAGCTTGGCTACCTCCCAAAACTACACAGCCTAGTATAGCCGACCAATCGTCAGCACAGACAATTAAAGAGTCACAACTGGATGGGGTCACTTCCAAGATTAGCTTATCAGCCATTTTGGTGGTTGAATACCACCTAGTCCAAAAGCGAAATAAATTATTGTTTTTTGTTTGGTATTTCGATTAAAGCCCTGTTACAAAATGCATTTATTTTCGCTCTAGCTGGCTCCGTTGACCAAGTGTTTTTAAAAATCAGTCCCGTTGCTGTTGAAAGTTTTCTTTCAAATTTTGGACAGCGCTTGCAGCCAAAGGGAAAATTGCTAGTGCAGCACGAGCAAGTTGAAATTATTTCTCGAAAGCGATTTGCGTAATTTCAGTTGCAGTTACATCTTGCCATTTTTATTTCAGAGAGTAATTTCATAAGTGAAATGATTTTCCAATGTAGGTTGGTGGATGAAGTAGCTGTTCTNTCAGCACAGACAATTAAAGAGTCACAACTGGATGGGGTCACTTCCAAGATTAGCTTATCAGCCATTTTGGTGGTTGAATACCACCTAGTCCAAAAGCGAAATAAATTATTGTTTTTTGTTTGGTATTTCGATTAAAGCCCTGTTACAAAATACATTTATTTTCGCTCTAGCTGGCCCCGTTGACCAAGTGTTTTTA